AAAAATATATGTACGTTTTCATATTAAGGTATCTTTGCAAGTTCAATTTACTAAAGTTGGAATTACGTGTACTTTTCATGAACAAGTACAAAACCTACCTGTCTAGTAATATCCATATAAAGTATTTCGAAAATTACATGTAGTACATGTAAGAGGTTCGTGAACATTAAACCTGTGTATGCATGTACACATGTATATATATCGACGCGAAGGAAAGTGATAAGCTTTTTTTTTTTTGACTGACTTGCAAGTAGTTAGAAAAATCAAAAACATACAATGTAAGGTCTACATGTACGATCATTAGAATTGACAAAATAATCTTTCCCTATATACATGTACTTAAATCAAGCTATTTATTAAATTTTGGTAAAAGATTAATTAAAAAAAATATTCTTTTTTTTTTCCTTACCGATTTTGTGCAGAAGATTTCTCGGAGATCGCTCGATCGATTTGCTTCAAATGATATTTTTTCTCCAATTTACATGTACGTATTGACATAATGCACATTTATACTGTACAATGTACATTTAATTTTTTTCACGATCAATTATTAAGATCGATAATTTCGATGTTGATCTGGATAAATTAAAACGTGCATGTAAATTGAAATAAAAAATAATTAAATTAAAGCACGTACATGTTCTTATACTGTATCTTGAGATAATAAAATTCTATAATTTATCGAAGACCTGTTTTTTTTTTTTTTTTTTTTTTTTTTTAGTAACAATCGTTATAACCATTATAATCTTTTTTTCTATTATGAATTAAAGTACTTATTGTCTGATAGATTAACGCAATGTATATTTATATATTAATGGATTTTAAAAATATAAAGAAAATAAATATGTAACTATACATGTAACATGCTACCTGGATAATGAAAATATATAATGTAATAGATTTTAAAAATAAAAAAAATAATGCCAATAGATGTGTAAATATTGCATGTTGTCTGGAGAATTAAAATATATAAATATAAAATCATGTTTAAAAATCATATTAATAATATTTTTTACACTGTACATTCACACGCTTTGCTTGTACAATGTTTAGATTACAAACTGCCATGTTCACTGGTCGATGCGCTGATGATCAACGCATTTTATCTCTTATCCTGATTGACAGACCTGTTCGGCATGTTGATTGGTCGACGCGCTGATGAGTTAATCGCTAATCCTGATTGACAGCTCTGTTACGCAACACCGAACGCGCGTTCGCTTTCTGGGACAGCTACTGAATTTGGGGTTCGCTTTCAGCGTTCGCTCTGGGTCCGCTCTGGGTTCGCTACGGGTGCGCTCCGGGTTCGCTCGGGGTCAGCACTAGCGGACCCCAAGCGAACCCGAAGCGAACCCAGAGAGCGAACCCGGGGTGCGCTCTGGGTTCGCTTTCTGTTAGGTTGTGTCTGGTCGGTACTGTATGTCTTGGTACTTGGAACTTTCTGTCCTAGCATTGAAGCTTCTTCATTGCAGCATACACAGTCTTTGTGGTTTTCTTTTAAGCAATGAGCAACACAAACATTAGCATGGGAATGCATTTGATTCACATCCATGAATGAAATGGCTAAACTCTAACAGTGTTCAAGGTGGCATAAGGTTGCTGAGACTCTATAAACTAATAATTCAGTGTTATTCTCCTTGAATTCCTAAAGAATGATGAAAGAATTCACCACTATAATGTCTATACTGTGAAAAAACAAAACTTTCCTTCTATGTAAAATCGACTTGATGTAGCATGGATACTTGTTCAGCATTTGGTTGTACTATTCTGAACAATCATTGATTGGACTAGCACCTTCTTCTTGATTCCTGATCGTTCATTTACGGTTCTTTGTTACTGTCCAATTGCACAGCCTTTATAGAAAGGAGAAATGGTTAAAGTTTTGCAGTCTTTTCACTATACTTACATATGGAAAGTCTCCTTGTGAGGACACCTCTTCAAGCAATTCAATGTCTTTCAGCAACAAGACATAGCTCTGTTTGTTTGTTAACAGCTTGTATGAGACATTTTTCCTCTGTAAGAGATCTGTAGCCAAATGTTGGGTGGTATAAAATGAATCTATATACATGGTATAAATTCTGTAGGAATGCAGGTCCTTTGGGTCTGTTGTTAAGTTACATTTTCTCCTTGCAAAAGTAAAAGAAAATGCATAAGCATAACCAGTAATGGAATCTGCTAGTACAACTTGAAACCAACGCATTGATTTTTCACTCATAAGAATTAAACTTTTTCCGCTTACTTTCATCATCATGGTTTACAGATAGGAGAAATATTGATGCTCACGAGAGAGGAGACGACATTGTTTTTATAGAAGGTACAGGTTGACCAATATCTCCAATGTTTGGAGATTCACTACAGACATGTAGATCGGAATGCCCACAAATCTGACATTGAAAATGAAGCAAACGATCTTACTAGATTTACAAATCAGTACAAAAAGAGACTATTATAAATACACGTGGGCTAAAAGTACATAGATTTAATTCAATTTTGATTCAGTGTGGCCCTGCTACTCTGATTTTTTCCCTTTTTAAATTCTCATGTAAAACTGCAATCCCCTTGTGTGACCCAACACTATCCTAAAGAATAATTATTTGAACAAACTTGAAATAGACCTACGAAGGGTGGTTCAAAATTCAGATTTATAAACATAAATCCAAAATTCAAAATTTACACAATGATTAGAAAGAAACTAGATTATTATTATCAAGCCAATCATTTAATTATTTGTTTGTAAACATTAACTTAAGATTTTGTTTAATTGAAGGATTGAGGATATGTTTTACAACAAAAAAAACAGTGAAATGGGGAGGTAGTGGTGAAAATATATCATGAATGTGTATTATATAAAGTAATTTAATGTAATTGAAGAAGTAATTTAAATTACACGGTCTTTTTTCAATGTAAGTTATTTTAAAATTACAATTACAAGTTATTGAAAAAATGTTCAATTACAAATTACTCCCAATTACTTCAAAAAATGTAATTATTTACAATTACAATTACTTTTTTCAATTACCCCATCCCCATCCCTGGTTCAACAAACCAATCAATTTCACTGCATTTTATTTAATTTGAGTTTTGATCTTACAAACAGTTCATCAATATTCTTATGTTTACTATATGGGACCATAAGAGTTGTAGATAAGTCTGCATATTTCAATCTAATTAATCCTTAATTCATGCCTTTTATTCATGGGTTGAACTTCATGACTTTGACATTTTGTATGACATTTTATTATCTTTAGATATGGTTTGTATCTATTAAATATGGTCATCATATGGTTATCATACGTTTTCCAAATAGATTTGAAATTATGATACAAGATTTTTCAGACGTCCGTGTATTTTTCTTTAATAAGGCTCTTGAAAATTGGTTGTTTCTTTGATTTGAATTCCTTTGATAATTATTGGGATAACAACATTTATTTAAACATTTGTCTGGTGAAGGGCTCCAAATTAAGACTTGTACGCGGCACTTTAGGCCATCGAGCAGTGAGGGATCTTTTTCTGCCAGTATCTACTGCGACACTGGATCTAAGATTTTATGGTTTCATTTGAAGAACCGGTCTCAACGTCCCACATTGGAATTTGAACCTGCAACTTAGACCAAGATCCTTACTTCGAGACTCTAAAACGAAATGTTCTAAAACCACTGCACAATTCGAAGCCCTTGAATAAGTACATTGCATGTATAAGCACTGGAAGCTTATAGTAGGTATGAAAAAAATATTCGGATGTCCGGTCTTTTGTCACGACAGCCGTCGTGTTCTGTTCAGTCAGACACAACAAGATTTTTTTTTTCTATTTACATTTTTTTTATATATAAATAAAATCAGTATTAACAATATTTACACCATTTTTATATAGTTATAATTTACAATATGTATATCTTAAAAGTCTCTTTCAATCCACGTCATCCTGGTGTTCGCTCACAACCACGTCCAGACACGCCCCGTTTCACGACGGACTCCCGCCAACTGGCTCCCAGTGGGTCTCCGGTCTGTTGAACGTCATTGCCAACACACACATGACTAGATATTATCAGGATTATATCAGGAACCTTTAAATTAAATGACATTTTTAAGTCACACGTTACGTATACCTAAAAAAAACTAGTCACCATTGACTATCATTGCACAAATGGCACACCGTACAAACAGTAAATCTATCCAAACACTGTTATATATGTAGACAGCGTTAAGAATACGCAATTTCTTAACACAAGTGGTTTTAACAACTAAACCCACGACACCGACTGTATAAGCGGCAAAAAAACCCAAAATACATTGCGTGCGTACATAACTTAGTACATGCACAAAACCAGAACATTACACGCATGAGTAACTCTACTCAGCAAAACTTGTATACGTAAACAGTAACAAAAACATTACTTAACCCGTTTTCTTACAAAGTTAACAAATCTTAATGCAATATCAAAACACTAAATAATAAGAAAATTTAACTTACCCCTCATGGAGAAATGGTTACCGTTGTAAAAACTACCTATCTACACATCTTGGATTGTACGTCAAGCATGTAAAAAGTATGAAAACGTGGACCCCGGCTACCTGGTCAGCAATGCAGCGATTTAAATACTCCAAATACAATAGGCCGTAACTGACCAATGCCTGCAATTTCTAAATTTGAGGTTCATTACAGGTAACAGAATAAAGAGGTCCCGTAAAGGAAAAATAAGTAAAAATCATAAACATAAATAAAACAATAATCGGGATTAAATTTTGATTGTGACATATCTCCCAAACAAAAGAAAGTTCAATGAACTTTTGAAAAAAAAAAACACAATCAATATGGCATAAAATCATCTATACATTATATACAACATAACTACATTCTGCTAAGACAATCAGCTCCTACGTTTTCTGATCCCTTGATAGAAATAATGCGAAACCTGTATGGTTGCAGTAATAATGCCCATCGCATTAGTCGTGCATTTGCTACTTTGGCTTTAGTAAGATAAACCAGTGGTTGATGGTCTGTTTCTAGTAGAAATTCCTTTCCATACAAATATCTCCGAAATTTTTGAACTGCCCATATTATTGCATAGCATTCCTTTTCAATTGTTGAGTAATTTACCTGACACTTGGACAGTTTCTTGCTAGCGTATGCGACAGGTTTTTTCATACCATTCTCGTACTGGATCAAAACTGCCCCAACACCTCGATCTGACGCATTTGTCTGTAAAACAAAAATTTCATTAAAATCAGGTAATTTAAGTACAGGTGTTACCGTTAAAGCAGTCTTGAGAGTGATGAACGCATTCTCTTGGGGTGGTCCCCATGTCACTTTGTTTGGCTGGCCTTTTTTGGTAAGATCTGTCAAAGGTGAAGCAACAGCTGAAAAATTCGGAATGAATTTGCGATAGAATCCTACCAGACCTAAAAATGAGCGTACTTGCTTTTTTGTTGAAGGCTGGGAAAAGTTGTGAATAGCGGAAACTTTGTCGGGAAGAGGTCTAAGTTCTTCGTTGCCCGCAATATGTCCAAGGCACTCAAGGCTTCGGTAACCAATGAAACACTTGCTTGGTTTTACAGTCAAATGCGCTGCACGAAGACTTTGTAGAAGATTCTGAATCACATTGATGTGTTCCTGGAAAGTACGAGTATATACAATCACATCATCAATAAAGTTATCCACACACTGCATTCCATCTAAGAGTCTTCGCATCAGCCGACTGAAACTTGCGGAAGCGTTTATCAAGCCAAAGGGCATCACCCTGAACTGAAACAAACCAAGTGGAGTTTGGAAAGCGGTGATCTCCTTCGCTGCCTCATCCAATGGTAGCTGCCAGTATCCTTTAGATAAATCAAATTTGGACACATATTTACAGCCAGAGAGTTGCATTTAGATATCATCAGCATTAGGAATAGTTTCTGCATCGAAAATAGTTACTTTATTAATTGCACGAAAATCGATACAAAACCTGTTCGAACCGTCTTTCTTCTTTACGATGACTATCGGGGAACTGTATGGACTTGTCGATGGCTCGATCACGCCAACTTCCAACATCTTTTTTACCTCGTCACAAACAACGTCTCTTGAAATAAACGGCAGAGGATATGGCTTGGTGCGGATAGGCTGGTCATTAGTCAGCTTGATATGGTGAACACCGAGATTCGTCAAACCAGGTACATCTGTTAAAACATCTGAAAAATCGTCTAGTAATGCCTTGATGTCTGCTTTCTCATTTTCAGTTAGTTCATCACTTACTTTCACATCTGTTGGTCCCTCCTTTCTCGTTTCACCTGGGGAATCGCACAACATCTCATCATCACTTTCTCCGTCATCATCTAGATCAAGAACAGCTGCACCTGCAGTACCTAGAACACCTGTTTCGTCATTTTTGTCGCTTTCTCTGTCAATGTACAACTTCAACATGTTTGCATGAAATGTTTTAATTTTTCCATTCACGTTTATTCTGTAATCGATTTTTCCAACTTTTTCTATAATTTCATATGGCCCTTTCCATTGCATTTGTAATTTGTTACTGGCAGTTGGCAAAAGAATAAGAACTTTCTCACCTTTTGACATTTGTCTGTTCTTTGCTCCCTTGTTGTAATACTTCCGGTATTTCATTGACGACTTCTGTAGATTCTCTCTCGCAATTCTGCAAGTGTCTTCAAGTCGCTCCTTCAAATCTACAACATACTGGTATGTAGTTCTCACTTCTGAATCTGCTACTTCTTTAGTCCACAACTCTCTCAAAATCTTCATTGGTCCTCTAACTTCATGTCCGTAAACCAACTCAAACGGTGAGAATCCTAGACTCTCCTGAGGAGCATCACGGTATGCGAACAACGATGCTGATAGGTACTTATCCCAATCAGTTGGACGTTCCGCACATAACCGTCGTAGTATCTGCTTTAACGTACCATTAAACCGCTCTACTAGTCCATTGCACATGGGGTGATATGGCGTCGTTGTTAACTGTCGTATAGAAAGTAAACGACTGACCTCTGTCATCAGCTCGGATGTAAATTGTGACCCCATATCCGTGAGCATTTCCTTTGGTACCCCAACTCTACAAAATACATCTACTAGAGCCTCAGCGACTCGTTCAGTGTCAATTCCTTTAAGAGCAATTGCCTCCGGGTAACGGGTAGCAAAGTCAACAACAGTCAAAATGTAACGATTACCCTTTCTTGTTGCTGGTTGGATAGGTCCTACCAAGTCTACAGCTACACGTCTGAATGGTACTTCAATGATAGGCATATCTCCGAGTGGAACCTTTGTAGTCCTGCCTTTCGGAGTGGTTCGTTGACAGATGTCGCATGATCTGCAGAATCGACATACGTCCGCTTGAACTCCCGGCCAATAAAATTCTGCTAGAACTTTGCTGGCTGTCCTAGAAGTACCTAAGTGACCTGTCATAAAAGACTCATGAGCGAGAGAAAGAACTTTAGGCCTAAATTTCTTTGGTACAACCAACTGTGTAAATTGTTTACCATTCTATTATTTATCTGACTGGAAAACACGATAAATGATACCTTTTTTACTGATGAGGGTTACCTTGGAGTCGTCGTCTTGGCCCACCAAAGAACGTATCTTGTTTAACGTCTCGTCTTTCTCCTGTGCTGCCTTGATGTCGTCGGGACAGATATCAGCGTCAATTATTTCTGGAACACAAAGAGATTTAGTCCTCTTACCTTCCTTTTGAGCTTGTTGCCTAGTCACAACTGCATGAGCTTGATTAGGTGTCCAGTCTTTATCTGGATCTTTTGGATCTCTTGCGTTCGGGATGTTTCCGATGATCAGGGAATACAATGGATTTTCTAAACACCAAGCGTCTATTTCTCCCACAAAGTATGGAGTGTCTATTTTCACTCGCGCAACAGGTGCTTGAATTCTAGATCCATCCGCCAGAATGCAAATTCGATGATTTCCTGTAAGCTGAACATCATCTATCAAATTCCTGCGAATTACAACGCCGTTACAACCAGTGTCCCTAAGCACTGTCACAAAATGTTCATTTAATTTGCCATTACAGGAAGGCATATCTCCAAGAGATGCACTAACGTTACATGATGAAGTGTTTACAAGGTCCATAGAATTTGATGCCATTGAAAATGTAGATGTGCTTGTAAAGGAAGTAAATGATCCACACTTGCCTTGTAATTCCGAGTTCTTCACCGTAGATTCCTCCTCTTTTCGATCAACGACTGCATTCACTGAGTTCCGGTTCTTTTGAGTCTGATGGCACTGAGACGCTATGTGGCCCAGTCTGTCACACTTAAAGCAACGAACATCTTTCTTCATCGGCGTCTTCATATGTTGAGTCTTCCATCCTAGTTTCTGCTCCCATTGGTCTTGTTCTCTCGATGCCTGACGTTTTTCTGGGGTATTCTCCTTCTTGCTATAATGAACTAGTGTTTGAATATTTACATGTCTTGCCTCTCTATACTGATCGGCTAAGGCACACATTTCTTTGATGTTTTTCGGTATACGTTCTTTTAAAAATAATGTTAATTCTTTGTTACACATTAACAAAAACTGGTCTCTAAGAAACATATCGTAGAGGCCCTCAAAAGTCTTGTCTACTCGACCAAGCTCAATCCACCTATCGAGATAACTACCGAGACGAACAACAAACTGTGAGAAAGTTTCCCCTACCTCAGGTCTACTCTTACGGAACTTTTGACGAAACCCATCCTCCGTCTTTTCAAACCTCTTTAATAACGCCGTCTTCAAAGCATCATAGTCCAAAGCTTTCTCCTGTGGCAGCAGTGCATACACATCCAGTACACGACCTCTGAGTAGTGCGCTCAAGTTAACAGCCCAACTGTCTAACTTCCATTTCTGTGCTGCAGCATACCTTTCAAAACGTCTCAAATAAGAATCAATATCATCCTTAACTTCATCGAAGACAGGCATTTTTGGAAACTTTGCATTGCTAGAGTTTTCTGATTTCATTTCTAACTCTTTTACAGCTAACTTTTGCTCCAATGTTTGAATAGTATGCATGAGTTTACTTTCAATCTCTTCCATACCTTTTTTCTCCTGGAGTTTGAGTTTCTCAATCTCAAGCGCTTCTTTACTTAGAACATACTCTCTATCCTGCTTCTCTTTCTCTCTCTCAGCAGCTCTTAGTTCACGCTGATGTGCCTGTTGTTGCTGTATAAACTGCTGTAGGTCCGCACCAGTCAAGTTAAGGCTTTGACCATATTCTGTTATCTCTCTTAAAGACTCCATCATAATAGTAAATACTAAATGATTAAATATGAAAAATATTGCTTCAACCCAGTAAAACAACATTGATTTCCCAAACAAAATGTCAAAAAAATCTCTAAAAAATGTATACTTTTAAACAAAAAATATTTGGTATACAAACTCAATTCATACAAAGCAACGGTAACCTAGCTTTCTCCATTCGGGGCTCCATCCATAAACCAAGCACTAACACTCCGAAGTTGTCAAAAAAACCCACAAAATCTTTGACTGCAAAAACAAAAAAAATTATTAAACAAAATAACAAAACTTGCCATATACAAATATACTGCTGACTGAACAGATTTATCCCACTTCTGACACCAATTTGTCACGACAGCCGTCGTGTTCTGTTCAGTCAGACACAACAAGATTTTTTTTTTCTATTTACATTTTTTTATATATAAATAAAATCAGTATTAACAATATTTACACCATTTTTATATAGTTATAATTTACAATATGTATATCTTAAAAGTCTCTTTCAATCCACGTCATCCTGGTGTTCGCTCACAACCACGTCCAGACACGCCCCGTTTCACGACGGACTCCCGCCAACTGGCTTCCAGTGGGTCTCCGGTCTGTTGAACGTCATTGCCAACACACACATGACTAGATATTATCAGGATTATATCAGGAACCTTTAAATTAAATGACATTTTTAAGTCACACGTTACGTATACCTAAAAAAAAACTAGTCACCATTGACTATCATTGCACAAATGGCACACCGTACAAACAGTAAATCTATCCAAACACTGTTATATATGTAGACAGCGTTAAGAATACACAATTTCTTAACACAAGTGGTTTTAACAACTAAACCCACGACACCGACTGTATAAGCGGCAAAAAAACCCAAAATACATTGCGTGCGTACATAACTTAGTACATGCACAAAACCAGAACATTACACGCATGAGTAACTCTACTCAGCAAAACTTGTATACGTAAACAGTAACAAAAACATTACTTAACCCGTTTTCTTACAAAGTTAACAAATCTTAATGCAATATCAAAACACTAAATAATAAGAAAATTTAACTTACCCCTAATGGAGAAATGGTTACCGTTGTAAAAACTACCTATCTACACATCTTGGATTGTACGTCAAGCATGTAAAAAGTATGAAAACGTGGACCCCGGCTACCTGGTCAGCAATGCAGCGATTTAAATACTCCAAATACAATAGGCCGTAACTGACCAATGCCTGCAATTTCTAAATTTGAGGTTCATTACAGGTAACAGAATAAAGAGGTCCCGTAAAGGAAAAATAAGTAAAAATCATAAACATAAATAAAACAATAATCGGGATTAAATTTTGATTGTGACATCTTTGCGTAATCGAAAATCTTTTAAACAGATGTATTCAATTTCGACAAATTTACTCTGGTATGAAATATTTCACAAGTTCGATTGAATAATAGTTGTGAATTCATCTACCCTAAACATTAGTCTAAATGGCATTTGTATGGAAATCTAGCTGTTTACAAATCGCTTTCTTTTGTACTTATCATGGTCACATTTTTGCTCTGGATAGGAGTGGACACAGACACCGAATTGATGTCATGGATAATATTGACCAAATATTAAGAGCACCAAGAATTGAAAAAAAAAAATGAAAACAATCAAATGTTAAATCGTCTACGTTAAGCCAAATTAGCAGGAGGAGCCGGTACAGGTGGGACATTGACTTCAAGGCGAGGTATGCCAAATGTATGGTTGACTTTTGTGAATGTAAGTGTGTGTGGAGTGTGTATGTATGTTAAGTTGTTTTTGAGTTCTAGTGCACCATTTTTACCTAATAAGTTATGTTTAAAAAGAATGCTGAAATACATTCATGACATTTGATGTTAAAACTAAAATGAGCAACAAAGTGGAAATATTAGGTATATTGAGTATGAATAGAAGAGGTTTTTCTTCTAACAGCCAAAAGTGTAGAGATGTGTTTAACTGGGTCGGAAAGAAAAATATTTCTGTCATCTGTTTTCAAGAAACACACAGTATTCACGAGACTTCAAGGTTATGGGAATCAGAGTGGGGCTACATATCCTTTTTTAGTAGTTATACAAGCAGCTCAGCCGGAGTTGCAATACTTTTCAAGAATAACTTTGAATTAGATATCCATTCAGTTAAATATGACTCTTTGGGTAGATATATCATAATGGATATTTCAGCAAATAATTTTAGATTTACTTTACTTTGGTCCAAATAATGATAGTCCAGAATTTTTTCAAAACATTAACGAAGAAATTACAAAACTAGAAAACATGTCTATCCTTATGTGTGGGGATTGGAATGTTGTTCCAAATAAAGAACTTGACACTTTCAAGTTAAGAATCTTAATAATCCAAAGGCAAATGAAGTAATAAAGAATATTAAAAAAATGGACTTGAAACTTGAAATTCATGATCCATGGAGAATCTGGAACGAGGAAGTAAGACAGTACACATGGAGAAGATCAAATACAGTTTTTCAAAGTAGAATCGATTATTTTCCTGTATCTGATTGCACTTTCAGTAAAGTAAAATAATTCCAGGGTATAGAACTGACCACTCAGCAATTGTATTAAAATTCAAAACAAATGACAGTACTAGAGGGAGAGTTTACTGGAAATTTAACTGTCAATTATTATACGAAAATGAGTATATAGAAAAAGTAAAGCAATGTATTTTGGAAACAGTTGAGGAATATAGGGTATCAGGAGACATTGAGCAAAGGGGGAGTATTCAATTTAGTATAAGTAATCAATTTTTCTTGGAAGTCTTGAAATTGAAAATCAGATCCTTCACAATAGAATATTCATCTATAAGATAAAAAAAAAGAACAAAAACAAAAACCAGAAAAGCAAAAACAAAAGCAAAAAACAAAAATTAGAAAGGGAAAAGTTTCAGATTTCGAAGGAAAAAGTAAATACTTCAGGAAAAGCAGAAGATATTTTGAAATTTCTGTATAAAATTATAAAAGATAAGAAATTTGTGGCACCAGAGCCCAAAAAGTTAAAATGGGAGATTTATTCAAATGAACCTATCACACAAAAACATTGGAATTTTTCCTTTCGAAATGCATCCATACATATATATTTTATATTATATATGTATGTTTTTTAATCTATGATGTATTAATCAAATCAATGCAATGATGCTTTGTCAAATCAAAATGGAAGCATTCACACACAGGTGTATCTTAAAGTCGATTAATGTTGTCAATTTATCATAAAAGACGGATCGAAAGATTTAATGTGACCAACATACCATCCCTGTACCTTAATTTTACGGATACCCCAGGGGAGCATTTTGGTTCACGGGCCTTTTGATTTATAATTCTTAATCTTTTTAATCAAAAAGAAAAATACATGTATATCCCTAACAAAATCTACAGGAGGTCATTGTTTTACGGAGGTTATTTTTCTTTACTTAGGATATGCAGAATTTTAAGTGTAATGCACTTTTTCTACATGCAAAAGGGTAATTTTTCGACGTCGAATTGTGGCCGGGGTCATTTTCGACGTCGAACCGGTCCACAATTAAAAGGTGTAGGTCAACAGGCTGAAATGTAGTGAATGTAAGGAAATTCACATGCCCCATTTTAATAGACAATAGTGAAAACAGTCAACATGTTTGTGATATTTTTTTGGTATAGAATGAAAGTTTACAATGATATGCATAAAGGTATATTTCAAGCATAAATTATACATAGAAATGTGTACTGAAGTGGGGGGTAATTTGATTTGTTTACACTTTCTAAGCCATCCTCACAACGTCAGGGGTCCTGGGTCAACACGTTGCCGTGTTGAAGCAGGACCCCTGACGCGTTGTGAGGATGTTTCTAAGCCGGTTGAGAGCTCTTCTGAGCCAGAGGACATGACGTCAGAAGCAATTTAATAACCTGGGACAACACCTTTGGACACCCCCTATATTTGGACATGATATTTAGCAGACACATTACTCTATTATTTGGTCAAAAATATCTTTTTTAAAAGTTACAAACAAAACTAGTACTGTGAGCACTGAGCTCACAAAATGATATCCCCGCCTTCTATATGTTTATAATGGCAAAGTCTATGTTTTGCTATGGGAGACCCGATATATATATATATATCCGATCAAAAAGGTACATAGGAGGTGCACAATGGCACTATGTAACAAAGATTCTGTGAAAGTGTCATCAAATTTTATTTAGTGGTATATGAGGAGTTAAGAATAAGAGATATGTACCCAAAAGTGCAACGGACGGAAGGGCGGACGTACAGACGGACGGACGGGCTAACGGACACCCCATCACTATACATCCCCGCTTTTCAAGCTTTTTACTATATAAGTCTATATTTAAGCTAATAGTGGTCTGAATCCTTCAGATAGGTGTCAACACTTGTTTTGTTATAACTTGTACAAAGTACAATTTTTTCTTGAAATTTGTTACTTAATCGTTAAATTGTTTAAATATTTTGTTCCCGATATTTCATTAATACTATCGAAAATTACGTATACACAACTTGAAAGTAGTATAGTCCTTAACAACAGACATGAAAGTCCATGTTCAAGTTAAGAAATTTCCTCACAAAATTGTAAAAAGATATATTTGGAAATCCTTAATTACGAGTATTATGTTGTTGTTTTTTTTTTTACTAACTAAAAGCTTATTGACTTGAATTGCTTAATCTTAAATTCTATCCATTAATTATAAATTATTAAATGTGTTGTTGGTTAATTTCTCATTGCTAAATCTCATTGCACAATTTTCTTTTTTGCATTAACTTTATGAATCTTTTTCGAATTCTCGCTGAACATTTAAACTTCTCCATACACGCTTTGTACATATATTGTACCTCTCGATCATTCATGAAAATAATACAATATTGATATTATGATGGGTTTTACTTCAAGGCGCAGTTTTGTTTTTTTTTTTTTTTTTTTTTTTTTGTTATTATTAATTTTTATTTCAACTTTCACATTTATATCAAATAAACATATTTATACATATATCTTCACTCATGTGCATATTAAGAATACCATATACAGAGTACATTTACATACATAGATATACATTTACACACATACGCTTATTTGAAAGTTGGTTTAATAAGGAAGAGGAGAAAAGAAGAAAAGAGAAATAGAGAAAAAGGAGGGAGAAAGTAAAAAAAAAAATAATAAAGAGGGGGGCATAGAATTTTTTCAACGTTAAAGTGGTAATAAGCAACATTCATTCCTTAAAATTAGGGATGTCAAATCGGTCAAGTTTTGATAATCGGTTACTCGGACGTTTTTCCGATCGAGTACCCGGGTACTCGGTAAAAATGTAAATACAAGTTTGTTAATTTTAATTGTTATTTTTTAAACCCCAAAGCTGTTTTTATCACGTTTAAACATGGAGTCCAACGGAAATGATTTTTGGTTCTAAATTTATTTATTAGATTTTCCATTCCATAAAAGTACAAAAGACTGCCTGAAACTTGTACTTAGGCCTTGCCTAGAGTACCGTAAAATTAAACAGTTTTAGTAATCAACTAATACCGTAACAAACAAATAGGCAGACATTTCTCCAACGATTTTCCTTCACAGAAAAAAGGATAAATCCGGAACGCATTAATTAAAATACATTCCTAGATAAATCAAATAAAATCGATGGAAAAATCGCCAGGGTAAAAGCTGAAACTAAAACGAAAAAACCCAAGCGGGTACAAAATGGCAAGTACAAAAGACTGCCTGAAACTTGTACTTAGGCCTTGCCTAGAGTACCGTAAAATTAAACAGTTTTAGTAATCAACTAATACCGTAACAAACCAATTGGCAGACATTTCTCCAACGATTTTCCTTCACAGAAAAAAGGATAAATCCGGAACGCATTAATTAAAATACATTCCTAGATAAATCAAATAAAATCGATGGAAAAATCGCCAGGGTAAAAGTTGAAACTAAAATGAAAAACCCCAAACGGGTTTAAACTGGCAAGCACATTGAATGCCTGAAACACATACTTAGGTCATGCCTATAGTACTGTAAAAGTCACAAAATTTTTTATAATGAATTTCAACGTAAAGGTTGAAATTAAAGTGAAAAAAGGAAATGATTGGCAAGCCAATATCTGATAAGCAGATTTAATTTTTTTTTTTTTTTTTTTTTTTTTTTTTTTTTTTTTTTTTTTATAATACACTGTAATTAAATAACTAATTTATAAAAACTGCCAAATTAAGTTTTGTTACATGTACCGTATCCAAATGATTTTGAAGAAAGGATAAAAGTGACAATCTTGTTACATTTTCTCGAAAATCTATTTTCTCACTGAAATTAACGCTCCCCTTATACTTAAGAAATAAAGTCCGCGTTATCGTGAATGTTGCAGGATAACCTCCGAGGTCGAGAAATGTTGTCTGAAATATAAAAGCCGAGGCGTTAGCCGAGGCTTTTATATTTCAGACAACATTTCGAGACCGAGGAGGTTAGCCTGCATCATTCACGACAACAAGGACTTTATTTCTATTCTACTAACGGCTCTAAAATACAGTTGATCATTTTCTCTATAGAGAAACGAATTAGGTCATCATGTCGCAATTTCGCTGTTCCATTTAACACCAGAGGGTCAATTGATTGCATAAAATGCAGACGATTTCAGCTTTTGTTGGATTAAAAATATCCTTTAATTATTTATAAATTTGCTTGTAACATATACTGATTAATTTTTATGAATGAAAAATAACAAAACCAGTTGTCTATTTCATTGATTTATCAGTAAAATCACGGGAGTGTAAATGTTGTGGGGAGGTCCGTAGAACAGCCCCACTTGGCTATAAAAACGGATATTTATCAGCTGTTTCAGGCAATACACACGTTAAGACTGCGTAAGACGACACATCGATGTGGTCTAAATAAGTATTAGATTATACAGTGAAATATTCATTTCAACTGTACAGATTTGACATGTGTTTCTGATCTGATAATTTTTTGATGACGTTCGTGATTTATTGGAGAATAATGTCCGCGGCATTTCTTTGATCTCGGCAATAATCGTAGTAGAATCCTATATAACTGTACATTCCCTTGTTTGTTCAGATGAACTCCGTCGGATACAAATTTCCGACTACAATATCCGTCCCGGGGAGAAACAAAATAATTCCCGTGTTCCCAAAATACACAATAACCTAGTGATGGCAATGCATCTCTCAGTATTTCATTCACCTTGTCTGCTACATCATTGTACTCGAAATTAACCTTAAATCTTGGCAATAATTTGCAAACAATTATTTTCGCAACATTATAGCGGCGATGCATCACCGATACCATAGTTTCAATTTCTGCGGCCAACAATGTAGGATCTGTACTGGGAACGATGTCGTTCTCCCAAATCATTAGAACAACTACCTCGGGACCTAAAGCAAATACACTCTCCATATCCTTAGATATTATATCACGAACCTTCCTTCCGCCCACACCCCTGTACAAAACGGAATGCGTTTTTTCCAGACCAAGATTTGCAGAATATCTAATGTCATCACCATGTTTCAAGAATTCGTGAAAACGACGCACAGTTGAATGACCAAGAATGACAACCGAAGTTTTGCCCATTGAAGACATGATAAAATAATTTTACTCACCAAATACTTGATAAAATAAATAACAAACTTGAAAAAACGTCCGTCCTCCAAGGCTGTAGGTGGGAGAAGAGGCAGAGTGACGCATCGCGTGGCCAGAATTTTAATTGCTTGATTTTGATTGGTCAATCTCTGCCTCTCCTAAGACATGAAACAAAATGACCATTATAATACATCACTATACAATATTTCAGACTTGAACATTCAAGGAGGACACTTATTGATTATAATAAAAAAATTTTAAGTAAACTTAAATTTATTTATTATAAGAAAAATATCGCGTCCTAATGCAACAACATGAGGAGGCATTCACGAATAAATGTGTAAATGCGTTCGCTTTAGAGTTGCTGTTCTTACCAAAATATGAATATTGACTGCGAGATAGCTCAAGACTTAATCATAATTAAAACCTATCACAAATTAAATTTTCAACCATTTATCAATTGCTCAAGTTAAATTAGACTGATGATTTACTAAAAAATATTTAAGGAATAACTGTCTAATTTTTTGGATTCATAATGTGATCAATCGAGTGGCTTGCGTGATAAAATTATCACGCAAGCCAATCGATTGATCATCGTCATGAATCAAAAAAAATCTGACAGTTATTCCTTATATTTACATGCTCCTGATTCTGCAAATTCCAGTGCTAATAGCCCCGCTTCTATCTCTATTTGTCCCGCCCCGCACGTGATTTTTTTTAACCGCGCCTATCGATGAACCAGTGGATTTATGTAGAAATAAAGTATTTTTACAATTTGTAATTTTATCTCGGACAAAGACATTGGAAATGTAAATAATTCAATGGCATTAAAAACTACAACCGTTTTATTCCTATATTGCTATCAAATCTCGAAATAACGAGAAAACTAAATCGTCATAACGAGATAACTAATTATAAATCGTTATAACGGGATAATTATCTCGTAATAACGAGAAATCTAACTCTTTATAACAAGATGATTAACACTAAATATATAAAGAGATAATTACCTCGTTATAGCGAGATACTAACTCGTTATAACGAGAAAGAAAACTACCTTGTTATAACGAGATGACTAACTCGTTATAACGGGATACTTATCTCGTTATAACGTGACACTAACTCGTTATAACGAGTTAATTATTTCATTATAACGAGATAACTAACTCTTTATAAGGAAATAATTACTCCTCAAATGAGATAATTATCTCGGTATAACTAGATACTAACTCGTTATACGAGATAAATATTTCGTTATAATGAGATAACTAACTCGTTATAACGAGATAATTATCTCGTTATAACGAGTTAAATATTTTTTGTCTTGTCAAAAATGAGCATATCTGGCTTTCGTAATTTCCCAACATTGTGTAAAACTGAGAAAAAAATTAGGTCAGATACTTGATGAGATATCTAAACGTTTGCATTTTTATGGGAAAACCCTTGCATATTGTGAACAGAGCCAACTCAGGCCTCTGGAGACAATATAAACCTCTTTCATTAGAATTTTTAAATCGGGAAAACTAAATGATGCTTTGATTTGTTTAGTTCCTTCATTACTCATATTCTTTAACAGAGGGACTGACAAATTTCAGAAAAGAAAGAAAAAGAAATCAAAAATCAAAATCTTTTTAATCAAAACTACTAAACTTTCGATGGATGGAGAATATTACTGGCTGAAAGTTCCTTTATATAATATACATGTACATGTAGATATTCCTATTTACATGCATTTTCTTCACATTTTATTTTTAAGTATATCGTCCTTCTCATGACAACAAAGTTCAAATAACTAATTTTATTCAACTACCAATTCAAAGTTATGAGAAACAAATAAAATTGCATTTAGATTTACGATATTAATTATCATTAGTCAGGATTTCATCATGAACAAGTGTTAATATCTTAAAATAGAACAGGGCGCATCCTTTAACTAAAATCCTTTTATACTGACAATATGAATTAGAAATGAGTTTCTGAACATATAGGGATGTATTCTGTTCTATCGTATATTATCCTAAAATTGTTATAGTTAATTATAAAATCATGAATTATACAGCGGAGGATTTGAATGATGAGGTAACACAATACCTCTATTTTAATACTGCACTATTATCCTTGTACCTCGTCGTTGGACTCTCAGGCAATTCAAGTGTCTTATACATTTACACTCGCAAGATGAGAAAGACAGAAGAACGTTACTTCATTCCTCTTCTTGCTGTGTCGGATATTTTTGCGTGTTTGGCTGGAATAATTCTTGGAATTGTTTCGAATTTCTACAGAGCTAATTACGTGTTGGATACATTCTGTAAAGTGGGATATTTTTTCACCTGGACAACGACTTCCATTTCTGGATTTTTGATCCTCTTAATCGCCCTCAGTCGTCATTTAAGGATTTGTCGTCCCACGGGTCTCCAACTTAACACGGTAAGAAAGAGAAGAGCCATGGTCATCATGTCATCTATTTCTTTTGTAACCTCGCTTCCGATGCTGTATTTTCTAGGAAGCCGTGATTTCCCATTTGTGTACAAAGGACAACTAATAAACACTACAATATGTACACTTCGCTTTAGTGATAGTGCAATGAAGCAGTTACAAAATGCTTATTTTGCTTTTGAGATTTTTCTTGCTTCACTGAACATGATAGTGACATGTGGATTATACATCCCAGTCGGTGTTACTATATATCGCAGGTTCAAAGTTATACAGCAAAACATGAACGCTTCAACCAACGTTTCATCCATTTCTGAAGGTGTGCCTGTATCCATTGCAAAACGAAGAATATGCATAAGTACGCCAGAACACGAGTTGTCAGTGATTTCAAATACTTCCGAAGTGATGAGCCAAAATGAAATGTGCTCGAAATGCACAACAAGCACAAATCCATCAGGAATAGACTACAAGCAAAAGGTATCATCTCTAAAACGCAGGAAAAATTCAAGACGAAGACAAGTTAGGCATAACTTCACACTTATGTTTGCTACAATTATCCTAATTTACGTGTTAGCTTATTTGCCAACACTTGTGTTGTTTATGTTACCTGGAGAGGACCCACCCACGTTTTGGTTTACCAGAGGGGCTGTGGAATTGAACGTCCTTGTGTTTCTTCAGAGGGCCTTTCTTCTGAATAATATTTTAAACCCTTTTATATACACTTATTTTGACTTATCTTTTCGGCATGAACTTAATAACATTTTATGTTTCTGTAGAAAAAAGCACTGATGATATCCATTTTAAATTGTTTTAAAATAATTACAGTTTTTATTTTGCAAGTAGGAAGAGTAATAATTGTAATTTGTTTAATTTTTTTTAATGAACCTAACATTTTCTCATTTTTTGTTGTTATTTTTGTTTTTCGAAATAAGAATCCTAAAAATAAAAATAATTTTAAAAAAATCAGTTAATCCGTATTTAAGTTCCTGACATGGTTCTACATTAAGAGTGCATATACATAAATGTTAATGCTGCTTCTGTTAGCTAAACACTAGAAACATAATATTTTAGGAATGATTTATTAAACTAGTTTTAACAAGGTTATCCATGTATATCTCTCTTTAAAATAAACATTCTCAGTATATTTAAAGATATATTTTGTTACAGAGTTCTGTTGAAGAAAACTTCAAAATAAATTAGCTGATAGTGAACATCACTGCTTGCTTCCTCCTATAAAACACTACTGCTAAGAATCCTTACTATTTGTACCAAAAAAGTACAACTTCTTATAAAAACTTAAATGAATTGTTGAAACCTAGTGTTACTAATGTGATAGTATAAGTAAGTTTATTAATTAACAGTTAACTTGAGATGAAATTATTCATAAGGTGCATGTTGACGTCTTGAAGTCAGTTTCCATGAATTAACGTAGTATAAGTATATTGTTATTTATAATTCAATTTCACACACTAACATGAAGAGCTTAAGTCCTTGTTTATTCATAAAACAAAATATAATGGAAATGATAAAATCATGCAAATTTTGCATGTATGTTGTCAAGTTTTTTATTTTTACGAAAAGATCTAAACTTATAGTTTAGAGTACATATTGAATGATTTCAAAGAAGATATGAATTTCGATTTCAACTGTTTAAACACTGAGATGTAAATATTTGTAAACAAACAATACGATTTCATGTGAAGTTCCTTCATGTCAAAAACTGTGATTTCTGGTATGCGGTAAGGCTATGAATTCGCTTCCGTAAACTAATCCGGAAATTCGTTCATAAACAACTTGGTACTCCCTGAATATGCATTACATTTAATATGATTCATAAATTAAGTAATTAATATATTTATATTAATCGTAATCATAATGTTGCTATTTTTAAAAATCTTTTTAAATAAAGATAGGTTTTAATTTAAAATTTATATATTTTAAACACAAATTTATTCATAAACAAATAGAATTTCCTGTATTATAAATAATCACGTTATGGTAAAGTAGCTTATCGGTTAGGAAAACGTAGGAGAGTTAAGGGGATTTCTTGCCTAGATTGAAATTTTAGTTGCTATATATTTTGCTCAGTCTTGATGTCTTTTTTCGATTTAAATTGGATCCTGGTGAATTTTATCTGTAAAAATGTTATAAAGAAACGAAGAACAATTAAACGTACTCTTTAATTCATCATATTAAAATGTTGAGAGAGAGATAGGGTTAGCAAGATATCATCTTGATATATACCAGTAAATTCGATATACCGTAAAACTGGCACTTTCATCACCAACAACTTTTAAACAATTTCACGTAATACCATAAAATGCATTTCGCAAAAAAAGTATATATAAAAGTATATATAAAAAAAATCAACAACCAATAAAAGTCAATAATTTTTGTTTATATTTTTTTTTTCTCTGATGGAGAATGTCTTTTATTTATAATCACTTTTGTTTGCATTATTTTTCGTATATAATGCCTGTTAACATTTACTTTTTTCATTCGAAACAAATTTTTATCAATGCTAGAAGAAAAAAAACCTTTAACTCAATCTTAGAAACGTTAATCCCCAGTCAAATAAAATTTTTATATGAAGGCTCATTTACATGAGAATATCCTTATACGTTAAAGTTTTAGTTTTTTCAGCAATGAAGTGAATTCACAAACTCTAGAAGCGTTAAAATTAATTTACAATGTAGAGTCAGGTGTTTCATTTTGACCTGAAGTTGCAAAAAGAATTTTTCATTAGGTTTTCCAGATTTTTAGTGTGTCTTAGAAATACAATGAAATTGACAAACTTCATGGATCTTCAAGCTCATTTAATTGTTATGTTTTTCCCATATACGACAAACCCCATTCTTTAGGTTGGATAGTTTAAGTCGGCATGATAAGGATTCATATCAAGATGTACATGGCGCATTTGACTGGAAATTAAGTCTTTCTCTGGCAATGCTAGGGTATATATTGCAGGCAATATAATGTGTCTAACGGCGAAATATATTTGCTGAAGACATAAAGAAGTATTGCTGTCTGGGACGAAAATTAACTGCAGGGTGAGAAAGTATGCATTAAGAAATTATAAAAAGAAGAAAACAGCGATAAAAAAAACCGTGTTGCATAACTCATAATTAAGACTCGACAATATTTCCACTATGCTTTTAATTCCACTGCAATACTTAAGAAATATTATAAAGACTTGTGAAAATAACCACAATAGTAGTGTAAATACATTAATACATATATGAGCAATGCAGTGTCAGGTGTAAAATATCGGTATGAATTAGTTTTAATTGATGTTTCATTCGATGCATTAGAATAAGTTGTTTTTCTTCCATATGTATTGAAATTTAGATAACAGATTACTCTCCAGCTTCCTTGTTTATTAGATATACGGATATTATTTGCCTTTTCTCTTTAGAAAATCCTTTCACATATACGACGATGTCACGTTTACATTACAGTTTCTGTTTACAACCCGGTCAAAAATTTGAACTTCCCAGTCACAAGTTGATGACTTTTGATCCGTTTTTAACTTCAAATGATTCTTTCCCTGGCTCAGACTTTGAATGTACTAAATCACGGATAAAGAGGAAAATTGATTGAATATTTTACTTTTCTTGAAAGGTCAATCATGAACTATACAGCAGAAGATCTGAATGCCGATGTTACAAAAACTCTCTATTTTAACACTGGAATACTACTTTTGTATCTTTTTCTAGGATTATTTGGAAAATCAATTGTTTTGTGTATTTACACACATAGGATGAAAAGAACTGACGAAAAGTATTTTATCCCAATGTTAGCCATTGCCGATATTTTCGCTTGTCTTGCCGGCGTTATACTTGGCGTAGTTTCGAATTTTCACAGGGCCTAATATACTTTGGATACGTTATGTAAAGTAGGTTATTTTCTTACTTGGTCGACCACCTCTGTGTCTAGGATTATCATTCTTACTTGGTCGACCACCCCTGTGTCTGGGATTATCATTCTTATCATAGGAAGAGTAATAATTGTAATTTGTTTAATTTTTTTTAATAAATCTAACATTGCCTGATATGTTGTGTTCTTATTTTTGTTTAATCCTAAAAATAAAAATCATTTTAAAAAAAGCAGTTAATCCGTATTTAAGTTCCTGACATGTTCTACATTCAGAGTGCAAACAGAGTACTTCCTCCCATAAAACACTACTGCTTAGAATCCTTACTATTTGTACCAAACTTGTAACATTTCTTATAAAAACTTTAAAAAAATAAAATTAGTCTTAAGGTGCATGTTGATGTCTTGAAGTCAATTTCCATGAGTTAATGTAGTATAAGCATATTATAATAATTCAATTTCACATACTCAGTCGGTAGAGCGCTCGCTCCGTGATCGGGAGGTCGTGAGTTCGAATCTCGGCCGCGACAGACCTAAGTCGATAAAAAATAGGTAGCAACTGTTCCTTCGCCATGCGCTCGGCACTTTGGAGTGAAAGTTGCGGGTCTTTCGGATGAGACCTTAAAAACCGAGGCCCCGTGTCACGGCAGGCGTTGGCACGATAAAGATCCCTTACTGCTCAATGGCCCTGAGTGCCGAGTAAAGGTCAAAATTTGAAGCCCTTCACCGGTATATGGTGACGTCTCTATATGAGTGAAAAATTCTCGAATGGGACGTAAAACAATATACAATCAATCAATCAATCAATTTCACATAGTATCATGAAGAGTTTAAGTTCTCTTTTATTCATGAAACATAATACAGTGGAAATGATAAAATCGTACAAATTAGCATGCATGTTGTTAAGAATTTTAGTTTTATTACGAAAAGATCTGAACTTTTGAATAAAATATAGAGTACATATTGAATGAGTAATTTCAGAGACGATCTGAATTTCAATTTCAACTGTTATAAACACTGAGTTGTAAATATTTGTAAACAAACAGTACGATTTCAGGTGCAGTTACTTCAAGTCAAAAACTTTGATTTCCGGTATGCGGTAAGGCTATGAATCCGCTTCCGTAAAGTAATCCGGAAATTCGTTCGTAAACAACTTGGTACTCCCTGAATGCATTACATTCAATATGATTCATCAATTAAGTAATTTTAAATATAAAATATATTTATATTAATCGTAGTCATAATGTGTCTATTTTTTGTAATCGTTTTAATAAAGATAGTTTTTAATTTAAATTCATATATATTTAAACACTAATTTATTCATCAACAAAAAAAAAATTGCTGTATTATAAATAAATCACGTTATGGTTAAATAGCTTATCAGGTAGGAAAACGTAGGAGAGTTAAGGGGATTTCTTGCCTAGATTGAAATTTGAGTTGCTTTATATTTTCCTCAGTCTTTATGTCTTTTCCGCATGTTTATTCCTTTGTTTTGTTTGTTTATTTTTTAACGTCCCTCTCGAGAATTTTTCACTCATATGGAGACGCCACCACTTGTCGGTGGAGAGCTACAAATTTTGACCTATACTCGGCACTCAGGGCCATTGAGCAGTGAGGGATCTTTTTCCGTGTCAGCACCTACTGCGACACGGGACCTCGGTTTATACGGTCTCATCCGAAGGACCGGTCTCGACGTCTCACAGTGGGATTCGAATCTGCGACCTAAGGATCAACTCCTTACTCCGCGACTCTAGAGCGAACGACCGTTCACGGTAGCTCAGTCGGTAGAGCGCTCGCTCCGTGATCGGGAGGTCGTAAGTTCGAATCTCGGCCGCGACAGACCTAAGTCGATAAAAAAAAATAGGTAGCAACTGTTCCTTCGCCATGCGCTCGGCACTTTGAAGTGAAAGTTGCGG